CTTAATACCAGTTTGCTGTCACTAATTCTTGTTCAATATCTCGAATCTGTTTAAAAGAACTCGAAGTTTTGGTAATCTATACTGAGAAATATCTAACAGCAGAAAAATTCGTTTAAAATTGATGTTTGAGTGCCTTATCTTGCTCAAAGGATCACAAATTACTATTTCAGAAATCAAAACACCAATTTTACCAACCATACCTCACCCTATGGACTGCATAGTTACCAAGATATAGAAACTACGCTGTCATGTTTAATCAAAAATCGAAGGACTATAAAAGTGTGAAATAATAGAGGCAAGTATCCCACGAGGCACGAGGACGCGAAATACTTATAAAATTAGGCGAAAAATATAATATTTGTACAATTCACTCACCGGTCGATGATAACAGGGTCGCTTGGTGTTTCGTTCCTGTTTCCGCAGCTCTTTTTATCGCAACACCGACTGGAACAGAACGAGGGTGGTTAATCAGAGATTAGTATGCACGACTTTGAAATATTTCTTTGTCAGGGAGTACATTCTTTCCTTGACTCAATTCGATCGGGGGTCCAGAGGGGTCAGGACTTTCGAGGTCGTCTAAAAACTATCGTAACCCTTGGGACTTGGCAAGTTCGGGGGTGGAAAGTAGTCAGGCCGAAGTCCCATGGGTCAATGAGTCAGCCACCCCCAGAGAATGATTGCACCCCCGTGTGTCTCGTTACGTTTATGGTTTGCCACCGCAAGGGTGGTTGCTTGTATGAAGATACTTTGCTCTTCGTGCACACGTGTTTGCATACAGTCAAAGTCTTGTCAGTAGACGATCGCGAGGTGCTTTTGCGACCTTAAATCTCTGTAAAACAATCATAGTATAATTGGATGAACAGTAGCCAAAGTGTTGAAGAATTTTGATACATCTTGTGACCGTTTTGACTGTATGCAAATGCACGTGTATGAAGAAGAGATGACAGGTATATTACCTCCATTTTTAATATTTTTTGAGAATGAGAATTATTTGATTAATCTTTCATCAATGATTAAAAATGTAACATACTTATTCGCGAGATTACTTAAAAGATAATGAAATATGGCATTGTTACAGGACATGTGAAATATCTCTAAAGTATTTAAGATATTTAGAATATCTTATCAGAATAGTTTATAGATTTGCAATAATAATTTATAGATATTTAGACACTTGAAATACAGGTAGCCCTCCTACAAGACGGCATCTTATAACACGGTTTCACTATAACACGATTTATAAATTGCGGGAACCCTTCTACAACACGGCATCCTATAACACGGTTTCGCTTTAACACGATAAGAAAATTGCAAAAATTTTTGTACAACACTGTACTTCTACAAGACAGTGACGAAAATAATATTTTTGGTTTGTTTTTTTTTTGTTTTGCATTGTATATACGTTTATATTTTTAATAAAAATTAAGTTGTTTATGTAGAATTAAAAAAAAATTTGTTTTTAGTAAGTTTTCGAAACGTAACCCCCCTTTTTGTACTGGCTCTGGGTTTCATATAACATGGTTCCAATCAACACGATATTTTCTAGGAACCTATCTACCGTGTTATAGGGGGGTTACCTGTATTATTAAATGTTAATAGTTAATCAATAGTATGATAAAATGGATTTGAGAAGAGACTCACCTGCACATCACTTCGTGGGTAAGAAGAACCCTACACATCTCCGGATTTTTATCTTGTCCCTCGTACATGATAGCCTCAAACAAAAGAAATAATTATTAATTAACTACATTTAGCAGCGTAGGTTTAACTTACAATTTATTAATCAACGATTTAAGTTTATTTCATAATTTATAAATAGAATGTTGTTATATATATCTATATTTCTATGGTACACATGTAACGTGGAAATTGACAGAAAAGACAAGACATTAGAAAACTATCTGCTCGGATGCAAGTGGAGAAAGGGACCATTTCCCCTAGAACATCGCTAAGCCACGGCTGGCTTAAGCAAATCCGCTAAGCTTCCTTCACGACCTTCTGATTGATTTTTATTTAATGATAACATGTCGTTATCCTGTATTCATACACTTACAGTTGGGGAATGAGATACGGATTAGCCATGGAATAATAAGCCATGGTTAAGTAACATCCTTTTGATCTTGGTAAACGAAGAGTAGTAATGGGTGTCCTTGAACTTATAATGGAATACTCTGAACAATATTTTATACAAAATTTATATCCCAACTTTGCTAGCAATATCATTCTATTGTAAGGAATTTTTATCAACAATGGATTATGTAATAGACATTTTATTTATCGTATTATTTTATTATTAAAAATTTCGTATTATCGATCTCATCATCGACAAAATATTTTTAAACTAATAACTACAAATTTCCATTACAACTAATATTTAAATTGTAATTTTACTTCGGATTAAAGAGTCAGAAGTTTGACATCCGTAATTAACGAATATAAAATTCAGCAAACGGACAAAACAGAAATTCCAACAAATTAAAACCAATCCGCTGAGAGAACCTTTACTTTAACTCTTTCCTATCAAAATTAAATTTCATTCAATGAATTAATTAGCAACGATAATTTGCGAATAATTTGCTCACTTCGTTAACCGAAGTGTCAAGGTGGGATTACAAACAATCAAACGAACAGCGAATTCAACAAGTAAAACATAAAATCCAACAAATTCCGAAACGTAAAACCGTGAAAACTACAACGAAGAAATAAATTGTGGAACGATAAATCCCGCGCGAATTATTATGTATCTCGTCAATGCGCCGCCACGCGGCAATTTCGCTCACTATTCCTCGCCAATCTGAACGAAAGTCAGCCACTCTGGACATTTGTATTTCTACGCGTCAGACACGTTAATCGTATCGCCGATACGTGTAATTTATGCACAAGTTGCTTCCTTCGTATTGCGTGTAACGACCTAAATTGCTGGAGTTCGCGAAGAAGCGATAAAATGTAAATACTTTGAAATATAGCGTCCCAGGGAATTGGTCGGGTTGACGTCAGTGTAGACCGGGCTTGCAGGAGCAGTTGAATGGCGGAGAACGCCGGTAACGATACCAAATACATTTCGCCTCGGCAGTTAGGTGTGACTTTCAGAACGACATCAAATATTTATACGAACAAAATAACCGAATTGCAACGTAAACGAACCGCGATGGTCGTATACGCGGCGGAAGGTAAATCAGAGGAGAATCCCCCGTCGAAGTGGAAACGTCGGCCCGGCGAAATAGAGGGGCAAAAATAAACACGGAAGAAAGAGAGAAGTGGATCGAGGAGCGAAAGAAGAAGCGTACGTGCTGCGCGGTGAGAGGAGGTCGGAGTGGGGGAACAAAACGTTTCGTGTCCTTCCACCATTTCGTCTCCTAATCGCGGAGAGGCATGCGACCTTATTCGTATCGTGAAATAATTAATACGAGCATCCACCTTGTATGCGTTAACCTTTAAGACTCGAGTATCGTAATTAGTTGTAATTAGTTAGTAGGTTAACCTATATGTAACGCAGTATTTGGGTATATATGTTAAATGAAAATAAATAAATAACTTTTGATAATTTATTGCAATTGCTTACCACATTCCTATTAAGGTTCGTATTCTTCTTATATTCTTATGAAATTCTTGTTACGAGATTTATTGCGTTAGTGTAGAATGTATTGTTCACAAATCGTTTAGACACATGTTCATTGTACAACGCACTAACGAGGACTGACGTGTGAGACACGATCAACCGTTACGCGGTGGGCTCACACGTATACACACAAGTATAAATAAGAAAGGGACGGTTTACAAACATTTCTGATCAGAGATGTCGCGATTTTTATACAAAACTAGATACGTAACTTCTGGACTAACCTATATATTACAAACGAGTGTTTTAAAATAAAGCACTTATCGAAATTTTATTAACAAATTACCGAATTATGAATAATTCAACATTTCGAAGAACAAAATTGAATTATTTATAATTCGATAATTACATTAATAAAATTTAGATCACTGTTTCATTACGGAACACTCGTTCGTAATATATAGGTTAGTCAAGAAATTACGTGTCTAGTTTCGTATAAAAATTCGAATGGGAAAAGAAAATATTTTCTGTTGCAAACAAAACCTCATATTCGTATATTATTTCTCGACGTGGTACCTATGTATTTGCACGCACTAACCACAAAGGAGAATCAATTTACTGTATCTTGAACAAATTCGTTTCTGATTCCTTCACATTTTGAGGTTATTTCCTTTGTTTCGTTGTACTAGAACGATTCTCACAATCATGTACGTTTTCATCCGAACAAACAGGTATTCTCCTGTGAATTACTAACCGAGAATAAAGATCACATAACAGCACGAATTTCAAACTCCACTGCAGCTGTTATATGACGATGTTTATTACACTATAATACACGATCGACTGACGCAATCGACTCGAAACTTGTTATATATCATCGACGATATTTCATCTAAGTAGCCACCTAGTGGCAAAGACATATCTCTTTTAAAACGGATGATAGAGGGAGGAGTAACTTATACATTGACTGACCAACGCATCTCTGCTATTGGTAAATATGGTTACCGACAGTGGAAGAAAAATTGATCCGAATAAGATTTTATATAATATTTTATATTTCACATATATAATTGAACGTGTAATCGGAAATATTCCAATATAAACAGAGAATAAAGAGCTCACTTTTAAATTCGAATCGTAATTCTTCCGTATGTTGTTACGATGATAAATATGGTTCAACCTCAATCAATATTTTTGATCTTTCAAAATATTGCAGTGCAATGTATATACGTTCGTTGCTGCTACTATACTAATCGGAATTTAATGCTGCATCAGTAACGATATATCTGAGTTAATGTCTATGTAACATAGGACATTTAAATCAGATTTTAAATATGAACAATTTTATCTACTTTTCTCTTTTAATATTTAAATTCTTTAAAACATACCATAAAATTAAAAATTGTTTATACGTATGCAGCTTGCCTATCCTATAAAATACAACAATATGCATTTTTCATTATTTTCTTAACCTCTAAATTTTTTACTAAATATCTTATCTTCTTTACTTAAAAATAATTAAATACACAGATGCACTCTTGCAAAATTAAAATACTTAAATAATAATACATTAACAATGAAACTCTTAAAGGGTTAAAATTAAAAATTGTTTATGTACATATAGGACTATATCTTGTTCACTATATGAAATACAAGAATGCAAATATATACTTGCTTCGTTATGTCTCTAATATTTTAATTCTGCACAGTAGATCATAAAATTGAAAATTATTTATACGTGTATATCTTGTTTATGATACGAAATATAAATTATGTTGCTTTAATGCACTTTTCTTCTCTATTTGTCAATTTAAAATTAAATATTTAAGACGATAATTGGCTAAGTTCAAAGTATCGATATTTTTAAGGAAATAGACATATTTCCTTTTTAAGGAAATAGGAAATACTGCTGGTACAATCTTGGACAGTATGCACATGTCACTCACGTATAATTATTGTTCGAACACGTAACGATCATTGGGTAGATCTTGTACACCTCCTGATACGACATGCGATATTATTTGCTCAGTAATCGTCGCCACAGGTACAATACGTATTGTTGATTTTACGTATCTATTCCACTTACGGATAATTTCGAGCAATTAGTTTTTACCGTGTTGCTCGTACTCGTGAACTAAGTTCTTATTTGTCTTCATCGCTTATCGATCATATTGTTACATTTATACACATATGGAAATCGATCGACAGCCATTTTTCTTCGCGACTGCAGTTACAAATGATCACGGTATAAATTTTATTATATAATTCAAAACATAATTCCCTAACCTTCCTATTCTGCTTTAATTATTATTTTACTAATTTATTTATTTAAATTCCTCGTGTTATTTTATATTTTTACTTATTTATTTTTACTTAGGACTTTCGCAATAAATAAGTAAAATAAATAAATTGTGAATAAAAAGTAATTATTTGCAATAATATATTACAGAATTCTGAAGTCATTGACTAAATTTTCTCATTAAACCAACAGATATAATTTTTAAATAAAATTTAAATTGAATTATGCAGATAATGTTTAATTGACTATTTCTTTGATAATTTTGTTTTTAAAGGAGATACTATTAGAGTTGCACGCTATCTAGTGTCACATAGTGACTATCATATCGTTATGTATGTATATATATGTATATCGTCAGATATCTTAAGGGATAGCTGGTTCGGGCAGAGTTTGCAAGTAATACCGTCAAATGAGTCGTCCTGGGGGTGCGACCAATCAGCATCAGCCCCTTGGAGGCCTTTCTTCCGTTGCCTCTTGGTCCCAGTAGAAACGTTTGGGCCTCCCCGTTGCTCTCCAATTCCCACGGGAATTACTTACGAAGGACTAATAGCGATAACACACCAATACTGCTGGTTTTTAAATTTATAACAGTCTGTGTCCACCCCCATACCTTTTTGACCGACGCGAATGTGTGTTACTAATTGACTTGTCGATGACTCTAATGTTTTAGCAATTCGAATGGGATGTGTAACACGTGTTACATTGTACTAGAATACCCATTTAAATATATAATATACTTAAATACGTGTATATATATAAGTACATTTTAATTTCTTTGTAATCGCTGATAGTTGTTACCGTCTTATGGTTGAATTTTTAACCTCCTACTTTAATTCCTAACTGTTCAATTTTAGTTG